CAACGGGCCGAGTAGGGAGTGATGTTTTACTTCCCATTATTTGGGCCCTCCAAATAGTCGCTGTCAGAAATAATTCAAATATATTCATTATATCAACTTAGACGATTAACTTTATGTACAGTCCACCAAACATACTAGGATTCTGTGGGCCCCCTCTCTTGGAGGAGCAAAATGGTTTGGTCAACTTGACTGTAACTGCTCACAAATGTAACGTGAGTGAGCCTAAACTCAGATTGAAAGACTTCAGAAGGCAGATATTATGCTGCCCAACGAGCATAAATCTGTATTAAAAAAAAGGGGTAAATGTTAGAGCTCTTGTTCTGTTATGTTTTTCTTTTGGATGTCCAGTTTTGCTTTGCTCTTTGTTTTCTAGTTTTTTATGGTTTAATTCTTATTTTGTTGTGTTCTTTGGTTTTTTTCTCAGTTACTGTCTCAGTCTTGGTTCTGTTATGTTTTCTTTGGAGTATCCAGTTTTGTTTTGCTCTATGTTTTATAGTCTTAGTGGTTTAATTCTTATTTGTTTTCAGGTTATTTTCAGTTTCTAGGTTCCTATTTGTTGCCCTCTGCTACCCTCTTGTGTTCGCCTTTTTCCCTAGCTCCTTTTCTGCTCTGCTCTGTGCACACCTGGTCCCAATCTGCTTGTTAGTCCTCTCTTTGTTTCAGTCTCCTTTAAATACTCTCCCTGTTCCGTTCTTCAGTGCTGGGTCCTCGTCAAACATGCTCCAACTCCAATGATAGTGATTTGCCTGATGTCACCATGGTTTCTGGTTCATTTTTGACTTGTTTTTCATGTTTTGATTTTTGGATTTTTGGATTTTTGGACTCCTGGTTTCCTGTTAGTTTGGACTTTATTTTCTTTTTGGGATTTTGGAATCCTGGTTGCCAGTTTGTTTGGACTTTGTTTTTCTTATTTGGATTTTTGGATTACCTGCCTTTGTATTCAGTCAACTCATCATTAAATCCACAAGAAACCTCTGCCTTCCTGCCTCTGCTTTTGGGTCAACAAACCACAACCAATCACGACAGAAGGACCCAGCCAACATGGTCCCCACAGAGCAACCACAAGTAAAGGCAAGTAAATTCCTCATACTACTCAGAAAAACAATAGACTATCTATCCACTATCTCTTCACTTTGGGAGCAGGTGGGAACAGCTGAATGTATACTCATTCAACTTCAAAAATATCCAAACTCCATACATTCTTTCTTTAAGCAGAATATATTGCCCAAGTAAAATGGAACATTCAGGACATCTACGCAAAACTTTTCAATAAATCTTCACCACCCAAACCGCCACTCCGAGACATACCTGAGCTTCCATTAAACTCTGAACCTGTTCCTCCGCCTTCACCAGCTGTTGGTCCCCCCCTGCCTTCTGCTTCCTCCTAACGTAGGAACCACCGCCGAGGAAAGAAGGCCACTACCTCTCCATTGGGTCAGCCTGACGCCTCCACCCCCTCTCCGTCAGGTCAGCCTAACGCCTCCACCTCCTCTCCGGCGAGTCAGCCTGACACCACCTCCACTCCTCCGGTGGGTCAGCCAGCTGCTAGCCTCAGTCCCCTTGATACCAGGTCAGTTTCTCCTGCGGTAGTCACCTCCTTGACCAACAGCTAGCCCCATCCTTGAAAAGACTCAAACCAGGTCCTGAAACCACACCCACTGCAGTCAGAGCTCCCCATATTCAGAAGTCAGACCTATGGAACTTCTTTTATGGGGAAAGGGAGGATCTATTCCCTTTCCTTCCATCTCCATCAGCTCAGATCCCGAGTCAGAGCCCTTTAGCGGGCCAGATCCTCTAGCTCCAGGGCCCTTTAGCTCTGGGGCGCCCACTGAAGGCTCTTGGAGGCTTGGAGTGCCTGCTAATGTACTCATGGGTCTCTGGACGGCACAGAGCAGGCTCAGGGGTCTCAGGGGCTAGGGAAACTGGTCCGCCCACCCTGGTTGTGTTTTGATTTATGGACATTTTTCAGGTGTCTGGAATCCACCCTTTAGTGCAAGGTCCTATTTGAGTTCTGGTTCGGTTATGTTTTTCTTTTGGATGTTCAGTTTTGGGACAGACAGACAGACAGGTGTAAAGCAGATGAGGATCTAAGAGCACGGGAGGGGGTGGGAACATGCAGGAGGTCTGACATATATGGGGGGGCAAGGTGGTGAAGTTCCTTGAATGTCACCATGATAATTTTATAGTGAATGCGGAACTGTACGGTGAGCCAGTGGAGCTTTCGGAGGACCGGAGTGATGTGGTGGATAGAGGGAGTTCTTGTTATATTGCGAGCAGCTGAGTTCTGGACCAGTTGTAGTAGTAAATGGTACTTCGCCCACTTTTTTTTTGATCTACCATAACAAACATAGGAATACATCTTCAAGTTTAAAAACCTGAGCAGTTGGCAGGAATCTGTGATTAGGTACAAGAAACACAGCCAAAGCTGTGAAAGCAGAAATAGACAACAGGATCAAGGGTTCAGGCTTGAATTATTTGTTGGTAAAGAGAAGCGAGGTTGAATACAAGGAAGCAGATTCACACAGACAGATTCAGTGGATTGGCAAGGGTCAGCAGGCAGAAAAAAGGTTGTCTAAAGCCAGGAGAGCATGTGATCTGGGCAAGGCATACCAGGGAAATCAACACTAGAAAGCCCAAAGATACAAGAATTTTCATCAGCCTTCAGTCCCCGAACAGTACTTCACAACTCATGAATCCCTTTTCAGATGTAAATGCCCCATTAGCGTTGACGTTGGAGAACCATTCCATCCCCTTTAGTTTCGGTTTTAGCTCAAGCCTCTCTGTTGTGAGAGTAGGGGGAAAAAATCATATTTGTAATTAAATATAACTAGCTCTATGTCATCAGTGTCGCCAACACTGGAATGATTTCAGACAGTGGAGCCACCAGCACAGCGATCAGACAATAACTGATCTGTACAATGAAAATAGCTGCATGAGCTGGAATGCTGTAGAGAGGAAAAGCAATAATATTTATACAATAATGACCATCTGCCCTATTTACTAGGGGAAAGTAAAGCTCAATTCACTTCAGCGGCCTCTCTCCTCCGCTGCAAACGGCAATGCTGTGCTGCAGCGGAGGAGAGCAAAACAGGGCTGGAAGGCAATCTCTCACAACAAGCATACTTGTAGCCAAAGTGGAGAGAAAAACCCCCTTTTAACAGCAGAACCAGGCTCAGTGTGAGCAGCCATCTACCGAGGCTGAAGAAGCAGGCATACAAAAGGCAAATGTAAAAGGCGACCCCGTCCAGGAAACACACAGCCAGGCAGACGGGCTCCGAAACCAGCTCCCATGTCAGAGGATGAAGAGAGCACATCCAGTTAGTCTAGGGTGACCAAACGTCCGTATTTCCCGGGACATATCCGTATTTCACGTCCTGTCCCGGGCGTCCCAGGTTTTTTTTAGAAAGTGAGGAAATGTTCTGATTTCACTGCGCACTACGCTCCGTGTGACGTAATCCCTGAGCCGTGTCAGTGCGGGCAGCCCTGTTCTTAATCAGAGGCTCTGTTCGAAATCCTGGGCTGCATCCTCCAAGGACGCGGTCTACCTAGACTGGATCCTTCAAAGTCCTTGAAAATAAGGAGACCGGAAGAGTTTTGGCTGTGAATTCGACCAGGTCTACTCTTCGGCGTGTTTTACCGCTGTATGCTCTGTTGCTTAGCAACCGTGAAAGTTGACACACAAAGCAGGAAAAGAATGAATACCGAGGTTTTCAAAACTGTATGTTTATTTATTTATTTTTTAAAAAGTTAAAGTGAACAAAGACTGCACTCACAAGAATCCAGAGTGGAATAAAGGTTCCAACCACCGGCAGCAGGAACAAATAAAATCAAATGTAATGATAGAAAAATTTTAGTCATTTAAATAACCTGCTGCTGTCATTCTGCACATCTCTGATGCTGCTGCTATTTTCAAATATCCATTACTGTAAAAATGTCCATAGCTGCATATTGGTTATTAATTCTCCAGTTTTATATTGTTAAAACACTTTACAGAATTTTATTTTTTATATTTTAACTCTTCCCTATTATGTTATTCTTATACATTTTTCTAAGGTCCTCATTTGTGTGACCATTTTCAATAATCTTTCTGCTGCTGTAAATTTGGGGGATTTTCTATTCTATTCTATAAAAGGGCTAGAAATATATAAGTAAATCTAAACAATGTATGTATAAAAAAATATCTGCAAAATCTCTAATATTCAACAACAAAAAATACTTAGTTAAGCATACTGTGCAAAACAACAATAAAAAAATTAAACTCCTATCAGATTTATAGTTCCCACTCTGCAGATCTATTAGAATCTGTCCTTAAATTACAGCCAAACTCAACATTACCACCAAATATCTGACTCAATAACCATTAAAACAACTATTTTCATTCATTTCAGACGGAACTATTCACAGAGTTGTATTATATTAAACTGAACTTCCAATTTTCACCACTGTTCTGCGCCAAGTAACATTTCCTTTGATCACGGAGCAAATCCCGATGATGAGACATTTGTTCTTTCAATCAACCTATGGTCACCCTAAGTTAGTCACAGTAAGAGAAACAGGTTTACACTGAAATATAGGCCAATACAGGCTGAACCAATAAATACTGCACAATGATAGAATAGAGTGAAGCAGAATGGTGAAAAGGGATCCCTATGTCCTCCAGCAGTCTAAACCTACAGCAGCACAACTATAGTGATAGCTCTGGATAACCTGAGCCACTCTAACTATAAGCTATTAGTGCTTACAAAAAGTAATTCTACAACTAACGCATTTCTGAGAAAAGGTTTGGAAATGACTCTGCAGTGCTGGGATACTTTATGTTCCTGATTATTACAGGTTATATTCTGATCTGTACAGAGACAAATAAGGCCTATTAATCAGTAAGTTTTATAGAAGCTCAAAGATTGAACTCTGGACTCTGGAATGAAACACACCTTAGTTAGATCTAAACTTAACCAGGAAGAAGGAAGAAGTTTATGATTGTTGTTCCTTTCAGAGAGACTCCCAGATGATCTGAGTCGCCTTCAGACCAAAATAGCTGCTTCCCCTGAGTAGGTCCAGCAACAGTTCAGAAAACTGGAAACCTCTAACACTGCTGCTTCAAGCTGCCCAAACTTCACACACTGAAGGTAAGTTGGACTTAGAATATCACTTAGAATCACTTTCAGAAAATAAATATGGGAGGGAGGGCAGCCATGACTAACAGGATCGTCTCTGTTTGTGGCTTCACTTAGAGACAAAATGGCTTCTAGTCCAGAGGCAGAACTCTTCTGTTCAATCTGTGATGAAATCTTCAAGGATCCGGTTGTTCTGTCATGTGGCCACAGCTTCTGTAAGGAGTGTCTGACGAAATGGTGGAGAAAGAAACCAGTACAAGAATGTCCATTTTGTAAAAGATCTTCAAAATCTGATCCACCTTTAAATCTGAGCCTGAAGAACCTGTGTGAGATCTTCTTACAACAAAAAGGTCAGAGATCTTTAGAACCTGTGAGGAATCTGCACTCTGAGAACCTCAAACAGCCAAAGTTTCTCATTTGCATCGATTCAGAAAAAAACAAAGAGCGCAAATTAAATGAGGCTGTTCAGGAACACAGGAAGACTCTTCAAGAAACCCTGGAACCTTTAAAGAATAATTTGCAGCGCAAAATAACCATTCAAGAAGAGTTTGATAAGACAGCAGAACACATAAAGGTCCAGGCTCAACAAACAGAGAATCAGATTAAGGAGCAGTTTAAGAATCTTCATCAGTTTCTAGAAGACGAAGAGAAGGCCAGGCTGGCTGCACTGAGACAGGAAGAGCAGCAGAAGAGTGGAAAAATGCTGATGAAGTTGAAGCCTCTGAGTAGAGAGATAGCAGCTCTTTCTGACATAGTCAGAGCCACAGAGGACGAGCTGAGGGCAGAAGACGTGTCTTTCCTTCTTAACTACAACACTACAATGGAAAAAGTCAAGTGCTGGCGCCTGCAACAGGATCCACAGCTGCACTTAGATGCTCTGATAGACCAGGCCAAATATCTGAGAAACCTGGGCTACACCATCTCAAGTAAAATGAGAGACAAGTTGTCCAATTCTCCTCTTGTACTTGACCCAAACACAGCGGGTTCAGAACTAGTCCTTTCTGAAGATCTAACCAGTGTGACTTCAAGAGAGAATGAGCTGCTTCCTGATGATCCAGAGATGTTTAGATCAAAGTTTTCTGTCCTCAGTTCTGAAGGCTTTAACTCTGGAAACCACAGCTGGATTGTTGATGTGGAAGACAGTAAGGGTTGGATGATTGGTGTGTCAGCAGAGTCTGTCCAGAAGAGGGAAAATATATACTCAACATGGCTTGTCATCCAACTCCATGGAGGTAAATACTCAGCATGGTCTCCACCAGCTACTCCCTCAGTTCTCCCAGTACAGAGTAACCTCAAATGGATCAGAGTGAATCTTGACTGGGATAAAGGAGAGCTGCAGTTTTTTGATCTAAACACTAAAACAAACATTCATACCTTCAAGCAAACCTTTACTGGCAACATGTTTCCATGCTTCACCACTCTGGGTGAAATAAAGATGTTACCTGCAGATTTTAATCCCCCCCTATCAAGAAGGATTACTTGTAAAAAAAGTAATTGGCGTCCTTATAAATATGTGGTCGTCCCATCCTGATGATAATTGCTTGATCTAATGTCACTTTGAAATTATATTGATCAATTGTACAATTAATGTTCTTAATAATGTAACTGACATACAAGGTACAGCTTCACTTTGTTAGGCTTTGAACCACAGTAAAGGGGAAAATACAAAAAAATATTTAGAAAATTTTTATTTATTAACCTGATATATTCATGCTTTGATGATCTCTCTTTTTGGCATTGTGCTCCAAAATTGTATATGAATTACATCAATCTGTTGCTGTAGATTATAATCCAGATTGATTTACTGGATCCTTATTAAGATGAGAAAACTTCATACACAGTTTTAAGGTTTTCTAACAGGGGAAACATTGCGCTAGTAACATACCATTACCAATATTGATATACCTGAATGGCGTATAGCTCGACTAAAGACCTACCTTTCACATCTGATGCCTTCTCTGGATAGTCAGTGTTAGCAATTGGCCTATTAACAAGTAAGACTTTCATTTTTCTCTGGATGCTTTATCATAGAGCATCATCTTTCCAAATAATAGTAATAATTGAATTTTATTTATATCACATTGGAGTATAAAATGTATGTTCTTTTTCTATTTGAAATTTTTCATTATCTATTTTATTCTTTGTGCTTTAACACCAACTAATTAAAATCATGAATGAAAATATTCTTGTGAAATGGTCTAATTTACATACAGTAAGAGTGAAACTTAAATTTACTGTCTCTCCCTCTTGCACCTTCTCTCTCCATTGAACGTAACATCATTGAACTTACAACCATATTTTTTCTGTTTGCTTTCACTCTTTATTGGTGAATACTCTTTGTTCAAGTTATGTCTGTTTTGCCCCACTAAACCTACTAGAAAGCCCATGGATTGGTTATAAGCTTCTTTTCTTTTTTAAGAAATAAAAACTTTCAAATCACATTTTTTTCTCTGACTTACTGTGCTGACAAAATCCACAAATTCAAGCTAGTGAGTATCTGACTGAAACATTTGAGTTATGGAGTTATGTTTACTGAGTGTCTGTGCTACTGGGATAACTTGAAACCATGTGATCTTTGCAGCTACTTCCTTGACAGAAATATTTTCTTCTATCCAACTTTATTGCAATCTTTTAAGGAAAACCTGATTATATTGTACACCTTCCTGGAGCTGAGACCTGAAGGCAACTGACAAAATCATCAAAGTTCAGCTTATACTGTGAGAACTGTTTTTATTTTTTATTCTGGTTCTGCTTGCTCGCTCAGGTGTTCCTCCATTCTATAATAAAGAGGTAAAAGTTGTTCAATTTCTTAGGCATCCATTATTTGACTGAAGAATCCTGGATCTACAGTAACATTGTTGAGTCAATGTGTTAGTGACCCGAGTTGACAAGACAAAGAAACAAAATTATTTTTAAATTCAGAATTCGTCCTGAGACTGGCTGCTGTGTTGGACTTTGTGAGTGACATGCAGAAGGAAGAAGATAAAAATGCACCAACCCTGAGTTTACAGCTTGATAAGGATTACCAGGTCAATATAAATTTTATGGATGAGTGAGAGGTCTATCCCATGTTATAAACCATAAAGTTCTGATAGTCAGCATCTGAGGCGGTGTGTGTATTCATGGATGTAATATTCAGTGGTTAGACTGAACCTGACCACCCAGGGCCCGAGTAGGGAGTTAAGTTTTATTTCCCATTATTTGGGCACCCCAAATAGTTGTATTCATAAATAATTCAAATATATAGATAATATCAACTGAGAGAATTAACCGTACTGTACGTACAGTCCACCAAACATATTAGTATTCTGTGGACCCCCTCTTGGAGGGGCAAAATGGTTTAGTCCACCTGACAGCAACTGACGACAAATGTAACATGATTGAGCCTAAACTCAGATTTAAAGACTTTTTTTTAATACCCTGATTTAAAAATCTTAAACCTCTATTTTTGATACCCTGATTTAAAAATCTTAAATCAGGGTATCAAAAATAGAGGTAAACAAAAATATAGAAGTCAGATTATGAGGAAGCAGCTGTGGACTTCTTTATCAAAGGTGAACCCCGTTTGCTTGTGATGTAAATCAGTCTGGTTAAGGTTAAGGAAGTACACACAAACAGCTGCTGCTGATGTTTGTGTGCTCAAGTCTTTAGCTTGGCTGGCTTTCAACCAAGCTGTCAGGGTTTGGTTGTGGTTTTGGACCCAAATGCAGAGGCTGAGAGGCAGGGGCGAGTTTGTTGGTTCTTTAATTAATTAACACAGGAAGGAATCCAAAAAATCAAACTTAAAAATGTAAAACAAACCAGAACCATGGAGACATCAGGGGAAAAACGATCACAAGGAGCCAGGGAAAGACCAGGAAAGACGGGGTGTGACGAGGAACCAGCACTGAGGAACTGCACAAGGATTGTATTTATAGGAGACTCAACAAAGAGAGTACTAACGAGCAGATTGGGAGCAGGTGTGAACAGAGCAGTCTGGGAAGGAGCTAGGGAAAAGACCAACACAAGAGGGCAACAGAGGGCAACAAACCAAAACCTAAGAACTGAAATACAACCAGAAAACACAAAAAAAAAAAAAAAAAAAAAAAAAATGAAATTAAACAATAAAACTAGAAAACATGGTGCGAAGTAAAACATAACAGAACCAACACCGTGACGCAAGCTTCTTGTTGGTATAAAGACAGTTATGGGCCAGTTAACCCATAGTTAATTGTCAATAATTTCAGAAACAAATAGAAGCAGCTGGAGCAGCAGTTTGCTGGCACTTCTGAAGAAGAAGAAGAAGCTGAGGTTAGAAATGAGCAAAGAGGTTGTTCAAGTATTCAAGTGTGAGCTATGTAAATATTTATTAGATATCCTTGATTTAAAATGCGATGATTCAAATACAAGCAATAACCTGATTTATTGATTACTTATATTCCTTACTGTCACCCATGACCCGACCACAACTGAACCCCTTAGTAAGGAGTATTAAATAGAGAAAGTCTGATTTCTATATCCACTAATGTCTCATATCCCCTATTTTAAAAATGTCCACAGCTGTATATTGAATATTTGTTCTTTGGGTGACTATACAGTATTTATATTTGAAAAAACATTGTACAGTACAGTATTTTATTTTGGTTATTTTACCCACATGCAGAACACATTCAAAAGGCAGATCTTAATAAATTGACTTTTATTAACAAGATGCAGAGTTTTACAGAAGTCAGTTATTATCTTACAGCTTTTATAGAAATGTGGATCTTTCACATTAATTTGAAAAATACTTTTGGTCATGATTTACTTTTTGTTGTGACATGAAGTGTGCTCTTAACCCCCTTATTCTTGAAATAAATAAATTAAAGAACCCTAATCAGTATAATCTGATCTGATGGTCCCTAATGCGTTTTTATTCTAAATAAATGCAGTGGTATGGAAAGAGGCCCCACTGGTGTTCTGGCCCCACAGTTTGGTGCTAAAGCCTGCCAGACATTTGACTCAAGAGTAGTGATAATCTCAAGAGAATGTTGCTACACTCAAGGAAGTGTAACTGATTAAATGTAGCCAGTTACTAGCCACCTTGGGTTAGATGATCACAGTAACCCTTCAATGTTATAGTGTATATTGAAAGAAATTTAATAATACTTGTGAAACATTAAAAACAAGATTATTATCTGAAGAATATATTAAAAAAATTACAGCACAGACAGAAACTGATATTTAGACTTTTGCAGAAATAAATAGGAGTATAAGATCAGTGTCACATCAAAATATCAACTCTTCCAAAATAAAGAAAATCAGGGCCGATGGATTGGGCAGCCCCTATTTTTTTGTATCTATTTCTTTGTCATTAGTTGAAAAATATCCTTTGCAAAATAATTTTACTCAAATATCAACATTCCAACGAAAAAAATACAATCTCTCTTTCAATAAAATGGTGCTTCTTTGAAAATTGAAAAAACCTTTCTTGCATAAATATTTAATAGGATGCTGTCTTTTATTTTGCCTGACCGGGGGGAAAAATGTCTCTTTGGGTTGTAAAGGTTAAGAAGCATTGCATTTACTAGCATTAAGTACAATGAGTTATATTTTTAGTCTGTTATTGAAACAATAAAAATGCTTCCTTCCATTAGATATAGAAAAATCTAGCATTTTTTTTATTCAATTTGATCAAACAGCAAACAAAACCCCATCACCCAAATATTTTCTTGCATTATAATGCACCACAAGCCATAAGAAAAGTTTTTGTTGCAGAGAGATAATCAGTTTAGATTACCAGGCTGTTTGCGGTGGGCAGAAGCAGAACATTCCCCCTATTTCTAAACTCTCTCTGACATCCGTGACCTGGAAAGATAATAAAAACACCGAAGTCAAGGTGGCAACAGCACAGACTGTCTGAGTCATTCATTGCCTCAAAATCTGGCAAAGATTGTTTTAAAAATACAGTCGGATGATAACATCTTTCATGAGCCGTGTCTGGAGATGCTGTGAGAATGAACAGGTCTACAGGTGTGGAACAATAAATGTCATTCAAAGTTCTTAACTTTTAAGATGAGCTATCATAGATAAAATATGACAGATCAAAGGGAAAGGTAAAGAGAGAGAAATGTGAGACAAGAAAAGGCAGGAAAATCTATTTTTGAATAAAAGCAGGGGTTTGTTTTGTGTCTGCTCAGTTTGCTGTCTCAAAATCCTCTTGCATGCTCTTCTGACAGCAGAAAAAAACTTGAAGGAGAGAAGCAATGGTGCTGCTATCAGAGGCCAGGTAACCATCCACTGATTGAGCTCACACACAAACAACTCTCTCTCTTTGAGAAAATAAGAGCCTTTCAACAAACACTTGAGTTTTCTCTCAGGTTGTACTTCATAGTTCATGAGAGATGTTTAAGCAAAGAAGTGTGGCTCACTAATGGTGCCATTTCATGCAGAAAACAAAGGCAGTGCCAGAGCTCTGTGTGGCTGCAGCTTGTTAAGGCATCAATTACTGTCAGAACATTTCAGCAGTAGGTGAGAGGAAGTGTCTGACTGCTGTCGGGATCGTGCCGTGCGCTCGGACTGCCTTTCATGTGATGATAGCTGGAGAGAATTTGGAGGGGAAGAAATCAAGCAGAGAAAATTTGAGCAACAGAGAAAACGGAGGAGGAAGAGCCACTTAATTGAGTTGATTGGATTTACGTGTTTCCCAGATAAAGTTGCTTGACGGGGGGGTGGGAAGACAAAAACAATGACTAAAAAGTGCCTCAATGGACATTATGAGTAAAAAACGTCGAACCATACAGCTGAATCTGATCATGTATGCTTTCCTTTCCATTTATTGCTGGGATGAACTGGCCATAAATTTTATGAAACCTGGCAGTTGTTCTTAAACTCTCCTTTATGTCCCCTTCAGGCTGGGACTCATGCGTCATCATCCATCACAACAAATCTATTTTTATCAAGCATTAAGGGATGGGAGGAACTAGCAGCAAACCGGATCATCTCGTTCACAGAGCTAAGCAGTTATCGGTTATTTTAACATGAATAAAGGGATTTGTAGAGGGGAACCATTCCTGGGTCATTTAAGGTTTTTTCTTGGGTTATATCAGGAATAAATAAAGTTGATTAGAAATAATGAATCCCACTCATAACTTTTTGAGCTTATATTTTACTCATTTACAACTTCTTTTGATTTAGGGGTTAGGTTGAAATAGATAAAGGTGGTTTTTAGACAGGTACTCTGCTGTAGAGATAATCATCTTTTTCTTTCAGAAAAGCTTCAGTTCTTCACTTTTCTTATTGAGGACCTTTTTTAAAGAACTATATTGTTTAGCTGATTAAAAGGATCTGGACCAAATGAATCAGCTGTGCATCCATTGTTTGAGTTGGGCTACACTTGGGATGCTATTATGCTGAAATGGTTTTATTAAGTCAAAGAAGAGAAGAATTAATCTGAAAAACAAAGTGCTCCTTTAGTTCTAATAGAAAATGAGGGTGGGAAGAGCAGAGGAAAGGATTCCTGGCTTTTATCTTTGTGGGCCGGCTCTGGATGTCTTTCTAGTGCTCGATGCTGGTGTCAATTCACACTAAACATTGTTTTTTATCCAGAATAAAAAATAATAAATTTTTCCTATTACTATTTTTATTACTATTTTTCATCAATAACTTGAGAGTTTTCTGCAGAACTGATAAACAAGGTCATAAACTAATTAATCTGCCTTTCTCATCTCTTGCAGCTGCTGATTAAAGTTGTCTTGAAGAAGAA